TCTAATAAAAAATAATATACAGGGTGTTCCATTTAAAAAAAAAAACAAGAAAAAATATTTTATATTTTAGTTGGTTTGGCGTAGAATTTTGAACACCCTCTATAATTTAAGATTACGACATTTATAACAAAGTTAAGTATAGACCATTTAAAGTAAATACCCAATATTAGTTTTAATTTCAGGACAGTTCTTGTATTTGTAATAATCTTTTTAAGGAAGGTTGAAAATATGTTTTTTTTTTATTTATTAATATCTTTGAAATTATCGACATATATTTACTCATATCTTAGGATCATGTAAAATAATCCGAAAAGAAGCTAAAAATGCAATAATATACAGGGTGTTCCATTTAAAAAAAATCATCCTGATCCACTCACACTTTTTTGAGCCATCCTCTAGAAGTACAAATATTTTCTTGAAATACATCCTCGTACATACTTTAGGTTTGCACTTAAACAAAATTCTCAGGTTTTTTTATTCTAGGACAGCTAGCAGCTAAAGATGCTCCATGGACTATTGCAGAACCCTGTACATAAACTTTAAATATAAATATTTTTGTATTTAAACATAACATAAAGTGTAAAGAAAGATAGTTGTTTATACATTTAGGTAGTCTTTGATCATTGACTTTTATGCAAATTTTGAAGCAATTTACTGTTAATGTGTAAAAAGTTCTTAATAAAACCTATTAATGATGCGGATAGTGTACGTAGGTATATCGATAAACAACTATAGTTAATTTCAGGTTAATTAATTATCAGTCGAATGGCCAGAAATTCAAATACATTTGTTTTTATTCATCATATAAATTAGAAATATAGTCATTTAATTATGTATTTATTATATACTATATGTATACTATACTATGTTGTGAAATTGTGAATATGATTTTATGAGACTATAAAAATATACGAGTTTATATCAGCGGCGTAGCGTGGCGTCAATACAAGGGGATGTAATAAGTAACTGCAATTAAGATTTTACCAACACAATCAATTTTTTTTCTTTTTTTATTGCCTTTATCGTCTTATTTATATGTATTCTGAATTAGTGTCTTATTTATATTCTTAAATCTTATTAATACTTTGAAGTTACAAAAATAAAATATACAAAAATGTAACAGGTTAAAAAAATAGTTAGACAGATTTATTAAAAAGAACTAAATTTAGATAAAAAAAAACAAAACTGTGATCGTACAAGGGGTATTGAAGCGATACATATAGCCTAGCTTACCCAAAAGTCAACGGGGTGCGCCCTGTTTACATAAACGAGGATGTGACGTCCGAGTATAGGCAGTATAACCAGGGGGGTGACAGTGAAATAGGAAAATTGGAAACAGTCATTAGTGTCATTCCTGTCATTCTCCTCACGACAAGTATGGCCGCCTAGACAAGGACAGCATTGTTTTTGTCTAACTATTGTCTAACTTCACAGTTTAGAATTGACAGATTTCAGTTTCAGAGACAACTTCAGATTTATTGGAAAGTGAAATTGACGTTTAAATTTGACACTGTTGACAAGTCTACTGCTACTAGCGCCCCCAATTTCGCTTGTAGGAACTACGGACTAAATTGTCACGCATGGCGGAAGTTTAAAAGATAAAAAATTTATTTCTTCATTTATTATTATTTATTTTTTATTTATTTTTTCAATTATGACATACACAAAACCACAAAAAATACACCATTTTTTAAAAATATGTTTAATATCAATATCAAATATACAACAGAAATTAATTTCACCACAATAAATTAATAAAATTAAAAGAATAATGTTACAAGTAGATCAAGAGACAAAATTAATTATAACAAAACTGAAAAAAATGGCGTCATAGATGGCTTAGAAATAAAAGATATATCATAATTTTGAAAGTAAAATTATATGGGAAATGTCTTCGATCATCATTTTTAAGCCAACTGGACGATTATTTCAAACATACAAGCTGAGTTCGTTCATAGTGCTCTGAGAAATCTAGATAAACAAAGAATAATAAATTAAAAGTATTCCAGGGGAAAAGAGAGGAAAAACCTGTATCGTCTCTGATATCTGTCAGGGTATTGTTGAAAGTGTCATCTTTTTGCTCGAAGTTTTCAGGTCGATCAAAAAGATGACATTTACAACAATACTTTGCTGTAACTTTCACAAATATCAGAGAGAGTACATACAGGTATTGCCTCTCTTTTCCTCTGGGATGCTTTATATCTGTTGTTCTTTGTTTATCTATATTTCTCAGAGCATAATGCCGAACACGACTACAGTATATAATAATTTCAATATCCGAAGTGGAAAGAAAAAAGATCACCTTTCTGTTTTGTACTATGGTCCCTTTCTTCCGATGGCTCATCTCGTTGATATTTAGGAAGGATAAATAGGAAGGAAAATATAAAATTCAATTTGATTTGATGATCCTTTTCTGTCACCTAAAATCAGGAGAACGACAATGAGCATGTTAAGATGAAAAAAAAATTATCAACACTTACCTACACGTTAGTCCGAGGAGTTTTATTAAAAACCTATATATTTGCCTAAATAATTTATGTATTAAATTTGCAAAGCAAAATGCAGCGTGTAAACAAAAGAAATAAAATGGCGACAAGTCAACGTCAACGACCCGACAAGGAGAAAAGTGGTGTTCGAATAACAAATTATGGGTCACCAAAAATTGTTTTTGTCTCCTTTCAACGCACACTTTAGAAAGAAAAAGAGATGAACTGGAATACTGAAAGAACGTCAAGGTTTTATCTGTCACTCTTGTCAAAAATTTATCGGTAAGGAAGATTCCTAGAAAATCGCTTGTAGTCAAGTTTTCAACCATTGCCAGTTCTCCCAATAGATAAAAGAAAATAATCTTCTATTAAGATAGATATGAAACTTAATAGTAAAATTTTGGGTCAAAGCGCCCCTCCGTGTTCTTAGTAGAGACTACGTTTAACCCAGCGCCTTCGCCTTTTCTGCTGTAAATATTTTTTATGTTTATATTTGATTTCAAAGGATTTAGTTTTAAAGTTACACTGATATATTAGTATATCAGAGTAACTTTAATAAAACACAAGAATATATATATTTTACAGTTTATTAAATATAAATTTTGACTACAAGGTAGAAAATAAATCACAATATTTGATAAAACTTATAAGTATCCTATTTTTACAGTTAATAAATAATAAAACTATTTCTGACAATGATATTTAAAATTTAGATAGATAGAATATTAAAAAACATACCGGTATTTGCAGACGCAGGCCCAAATTCAATAAAACCAAAATTTTTCCTGCGAAAATCGGGCTTTTTCACAGAAAAAGTATTTTTTGATTTATCAACAATCATTGTCAAATTGACAATATACAGGGTGTTTTCTAATTAGTCTAAAAAAAAATTGTGGTGTGATTCCTCATGTGTTCTTAAAACAATAATTAGATAACCATTAGGTCTAAAGTACTTCCTTTCTGATCTACAGTTGGCGAGAAAAAATAAATATACTTATTAAGAGCCCGCCTTAAGCCGTTTTCTAACGATTTTTATTTTTAGATTAATTAGGAAACACCCTGTATATGCATATCACAGGCAACCAAATAAACTATTAACCTCTAAAAATTATTTTTCCTACCACTAACGACATACCGTGTTTTTAGTGAGTATTAAATTATTTTATCAAAATTTCACCATATAAGTTTCCAGGCAATGGTTCTCCCATAAGAAGTGTCATCCACCTGGGAACTATTGTCTCACTCCTCACTGTGCCACAGTCATTCCGTGCTACAGTTGCAGCCAAAACTCTATTGTGGGGGACGAAGATATATGGGAGGTTTTCGTGGCGTTTATATCACAGATACTACGACAGGCAGAGCTTGATCAACGAAGGGCTGAACAATGACCAAAGACCAAAGTCTAATGTAGAGAGGGGCAACTGCGCTGAAGTAATGTGTGAGCAGTTCCAGCGCAGTTTGTCAATGGTGGAATTTTTTTAGTCGGTAGGAATCCGGCACCCCTCGGTCTCTAGAATAACAGACCAGCGCATCTTATGAAGGTTCTTTTACCATCACCACACAAAAAGTTGCAATGTCCTCAATCGTCATTTTCCAGCCAACTGGACGCCGTTTTTTCGATCACACGGTATATATTGACAAAAAAACACTGAAAAGCACATATTTGTTTTCTACTGAAAATAATTCCAAAATAACTTGCAAACTGGCAACATCGAACATGTGCGCATGCGTAGTGTCAGTGACTATATGCAGGAAAAACTCGTTTCAAGGTCAGCCACCGGATCCACACCATTACCAAAATAAATAAATAAAGTTACCTTTTTTTAAATTTCGGAGAAACGGTAAGGACTAGAAAAAAATTCAAATAAAAAAGATCAAGTAGAGCAAACAAAGTTTATGATATACATAAAAACTTATATCAAAAATTCAAGTTTTTACCAAAACTTCGTATTTAAAGGCCTATTTTCTTGGACTATAAGAAACTTACAGAAAATGTAAATACCTAATGGCCAATTAATGTTTCTTTAAAAACTTCATTTAAAAATCTAATTGTCTTGTTAGATTATAATAGAAATCACTTGTTAGTCAATAACAAGATGAATTATTAATTAGTTCGACATGTTATACATTTTTATGAGCTCTGCATTTAAGTTTATTTCTTTTGTTCTTTTTCTCATGTAACTTTAGCGTTTTAAATTAATTGCTAAACAAAACAATCTAGTTTCGACAATGTTTTATATCTTTAGTTTAATTAAGGGCAACTTCTGCCTGTTGGCTATTTTTAATTAGAGAATCAGTAATAGTTTATTTGGGTATTATTATATGTTCAATTTATTTAATGGCAAATTCTACGCATATTGGTTATTTCAATTAGTGAAATTCGTGTTAGAAACCTAAAGACTGTCTGTTTTAAGTGACACACTAACGGTATAACTTGATCTGGTCTTAAGTACATACATTTTCGTTGGTTATTTAGTAAACAAAACATTTTTTTTAAGGAAAAAAAATACTTACGTTTTTTTCGTCTTTTTCACTAGTTTTTTGGTTCGTTGCGTCGACATCCTTTTCTTTTTCGCTCATATTTCTTCCATTCACACCGAAATAACCGATGTTGACCGACATCAAGATTCCTACCGCCTTTACACATCTAAAACTGCGAGAAGCACCAAATGGTACCTACTCTGCTGGTTCTCAACCATTCATAACGGTACCGTGAAGGTAGCGAGCTTGCGTGAATTAATTGACGAATTGGACCGTATTTCTTAAGTTTTCTAAGAAAAAGTATTTTTTTTAATTAAATTTAATGTTTGTTCTTTTGCCTTACTATATGTATAGGTTTGATTAAATCAGTTATGTCAATAAGTTTAAAAAAACATGGAGATGTTTTTGAATTCTTTTAGTTAAATAAGTAAACTTCCGTATATTTAGATGTAGGTTTTTAGTTTCTATGTATGGTGTAGCAAGTAGAATTTTGTATCTCAGGAGAAAGTATTTTTTAAATTTGTTCTTTTTTGCCTAAAGTATAGATATTAGGTACACGTTCTTTTTTACAGTGGCGGCTCGTGAGTTGTGAGCGAACGTGGGGATATCTGCACAAGAAAATGTTTGTCTGTTCATTTTAATACATAAAGTCTATGTTCATACGAAATAAAACTTAGTTACGTGATTAAGCTTGACCGGCACAGCGTTGCCCACTTTTATGTACCTATTTTCTTTTAATCAAACTATTTTAGGAAATAAAAATAAATCTACATGTATAAAATGCTAATGTCTGTGTCGTCTCTACTGAAGTAACGACTTGCTCTAGGAAGTTTCTTTTTTTACTAAAAAATAGCTAATTTGCTTTTCTAAAAACTGTCGTCGCCGGATTTTTTGTTTTTCATTTAATTAAAAAAAAATAAATAAAAAGTATTTTTTTTTCTGATGTCGTGGCGGATGCGCCAGGCTTCAACTAGTCAATTATAAATATATAAACAGTTATTATTTACATTAACAAAACTCACCTTCTTAACAGCACTTAAGGGACATAAAGGGCCATTACTACCGCTTTCCCGTTCAAAATATTCTAATAAAGTTGCGATGAGCTTTTACGTCTATTGAGCTATCTTGTACACTTTGCACTAAAAGAGATTCTAAAAAGAACAATGTTCGACTGCAAGCTCCGCTAGTAAACATTTTCAAGTAAAGTAGCACAAAACTACTTATTTAAACCAAAAACTCGTAATACAAAACTAAAGTATCAAAACGAATGACAATGTCAGGAAATAAATAAAAATATATCCATGGTTGGCAACAATGAATTTAAAAATCGCGCCCTCGATTACGTAACTAAAAATTTAATTGATATGAAATATACCTCTAGTTTTCATGCTAGATGTCATTATTTAATCGTATTAAGTGTAACGTGTTATTTTGAACTTATTTCTTTCTTTGGTCTTGGCGGTTGAACGCCCCGTGGCTTCGTGCCCTTTAAGACCAGCCGCCACTGCTCTTTTTATATTTTATTAATCATTTCTAACCAAAAGAAGATGTATTTTACTTAGGCAGTGTTCTATAACACTATCAAATTTCTTTGTCAAAGATCTTTTATACATATAAGATATTTGATGAAAAATTTGATAGTGTTAATATACAATCTTTTATAAAATCACACATATATTACACTATCAAATTCATCATAAAATATCTTTTAAATAAAACCTTTGACAAAGAAATTCTACAGTGTAGTAGGGGTCTCTAATTACATTTTATAAAATTTGTACATTATACCGTGAAATTCTTCATAAAATCTCTTTTAAATGAAATCTTTGACTAAGAAATTTTATAATGTAATAGAAGCCTAATTTTTACAAAATATATTCAGGCAATAATATTTGTTTAAAGGTAAGAATAACAGGTTGCTTCGGTCTGTAGTCTGTATTATTAAGTGAAACCATAGTGAAACACATTTATTTATTAATGCCTCTATATTTCGTTGTGGTTACTAACATCGTCACGAAGTACCAAGCTGCAAGAAACATTATTCTTTTTTACAAAGCAACAGGGGCGGATACAGGAATTTATTTTAGGGGGGGGGGACCCAAAAAAAAGTAACGTAGAATATGCTTTTTATGGCGTCATTTTTAACCCAAAAGGCTAATATTTAACCAAATTTACAGGTTTTTGGGGGGCCCGGGCCTCATGGGCCCCCTCTGTATCCGCCACTGCAAAACAATATTTGTAAAAAGAATAGGAATAAATTGGTTACTAACCTGCGCTGTCTCCTCAAGGAACATCTCAGTAGATTGAAGCTGAGAAACAACGGCGAATGCAGATTCTGTGGGGAAAATGGGGAAACACCAGAACACCTTATCACTAAGTGCGCCGAGACGACAACCGTTCGTGCAATAAACTGTGGTAGGGCTGATGTCGAAGATGGAGACCTGGTCTCTGTCTTAGATTCTGTCTTAGATTCTGTCTTTTGTTAAAACCCTTTGACGGTATAATGAGTTATTCTTCTTTTTAGGCCGCCGTCTCCCTTCGGAGGTTGGCGATCCAACTGGCTATGATGGTGCGTGAAACCGCACCTCTGAAAATTTCAATTGATGTTCTTCTGAACCAACGACGCAGATCCTTAAGCCAGGAGTTTTGCCTTCTTTCCACTGATCTCCTGCCCTCAATTTTGCCTTCGATGACCAGTCTGAGCACCTCGTATCGATCACCCCACATGATGCGACCGACGTACTATAACTTCCTTTCCTTCACTGTTGATAGGAGCTCTTTGTCTTTGTCCATCCGCCTGAGCACTTCCTCATTTATCACTCTATCCATCCAGGATATAAGCAGCATACGACAATAAAGGTACATCTCAAAAGCGTTAATGCGATTTTCCAGTCTGATTGAGTGTCCAACTCTCAGAGCCGTAGAGAAATACTGGAAAGGTATGCGCAGTTCGAGGCTTAGATCTCGGCTGGAGAAGAGGGTTTTCATGGAAGCAAAAGTACGTCTGGCCTGTTCGATCTTAGCTAAAATTTTAGTTTTGGGGTCGCAAGCGTCGTTAACGAGGGTTCCTAGATACTTTATGGACAATACTTGTTCTAGTACCTTGTTAATTCTGAGGACAGTCTTTCCCGGTGTTTTGGAAAATACAACAAGTTTAGTTTTGTTAACATTGATGTGTAATCCGTACTATAAATAATATTAGAAACATCCCCTAAAAAGTGACAGCGACCGACTAGATTTTATCCTAAAAAAATTAGAGCAGCCCACTAGATTCTCTATCTAAAAATGTTTTTTGTCCTGACATGTAATGCTTTACATTTTATTTTTTAATTTCAAATCGGTGAGTTTTATCAAAAAAACATAAGAGATACCGCCTCAGAGTAGATGTTAAAAAGCAGTGGGGATAATACACACCCCTGCCTGACGCCCTTCCTAATTGCTACTTCATCAGATGTTCCGCCATCCGCCTTCATGTCTGTAGTCTGGTTCCAGTATAACTGGGTGATAATGCGTAAGTCCCCCTCATCCACCCCGGTGGTTCTAAGAATCTCGGCAAGTTTTTGATGCGACACACAGTCAAAGGCCTTTCTATAATCTATAAAGCAGGCATATACAGGGTGTTTCAAAACAAATGCGAAAAACTTCAGGGGGCGATTCCTTGTTCAAAATAAAGGATAGTTTGCTTCATAAACGTTGGGTCAAAAGTCAACCATTAGGGAGATATCGCGGTACAAAGATGGCGGAAAAATAATGTTTTTATTTTTTATCTTGAAAACGAAAAGAGATAGTCTAATGAAATTTTATGGGAGCATTACTGTTACGAAAACACACTTTCTGGTAATTTTTTCACTTTTTTAAAGTGAGTGGAAGGTGTTGAAATAAACTACCCCTATCATTCTTGTTAACGAAATTAAAAAAAAGCTTATCAAACACATGCAAAAAAATTAATTTGGATAGTTTAGTTTATTTAGAAACTTTTTTATCTCTTGTGTTTCTTTGATAAAACTCGCCGATTTGAAATTAAAAAATAACATGTAAAGTATTACATGTCAGGATCAAAAACATTTTTAGATAAAGAATCTAGTGATAATAACGATAATAATAAGAATCTAGATAACAACGTATTGCAGTAGAGTAATGTCAATAAAATAATATTAGAAACATCCTAAAAAGTGACAGCGGCCTACTAGATTTTTTCCTAAAAAAATTAGAGCAGCCACTAGATTCTCCTGTTATTTTTATTAATTTTTTTGCATGTGTTTGATAAGCTTTTTTTTAAATTTTGTTAACAAGAATGATAGGGGTAGTTTATTTCAACCCCTTGCACTCATTTTAAAAAAGTGAAAAAATTACCACAAAGTGTGTTTTTATAACAGTAATGCTTCCATAAAATTTCATTAGTCTATCGTTTTTCGTTTTCAAGGTAAAAAATAAAAACATTATTTTTCCGCCATCTTTGTACCGCGATATCTCCCTAATGGTTGACTTTTGACCCAACGTTTATAAAGCAAACTACCCTTTATTTTGAACAAGGAATCACCCCCTGAAGTTTTTCGCATTTGTTTTGAAACACCCTGTATATCGACGTTCATGTCCCTGCATCGCTTTGTAATAAGGTTTAGTGTAAAAAGAGCCTCGCGCGTGCCAACTCCATTCCTAAATCCAAACTGTGTATCGCCAACCTGTCCTTCGCATCTGTTGTATATATGGGTATGAATTATGCGGAGGAATTTTCTATCTTCCTTACCTAAAAAACCAAACGCTTCTCAATGTGATGACCACCGGTTAATCAGCCCGATGTCCGGTTGATCAACCTGATGTAGCAATTTTCGTATCATTTTTACACATTTTAAATTTGGTAATGTTTGAATACGGGGGTTTCTTCGCACCCTCTTCCCATCTAAGGGGTGCCCCGGACTGAGGGCCATTTCTAAGTTTACTTTAGCCATGTTGAACAGTGGAATAAGTAGTGAGGTGGTAATTCCGTTTCCCTTCATCACCGCAGTGTGGAAATCTTTAGGACTGTTACAGATATGCCTTCCACATCTATTGTAGCGCTGTGTATGAATCCCATCTTCTGCACTTCCACATGGTATTGTTGCCGCTGCTGCCCGCCAACAATTTTTCGCCATATCTGGCTACCCTCACTTGGTTTAGCCTGCGGACCAACGCAGTTTACCGGGGTGTGGCGCTCGGAGCCAACAAG